GTTGCTTATTAAACCACTGCTTGCCAAGGCTAAGTCAACTGCGGCAGCGACTGAATCAGCAGAGCAACCGCTTCAAAGTAACCTCAAAGAGGGAGAATTTCAGCCCGTGCCTATATTTCAAACAAGCTTGCATTTTGGTGAGGGTCATATCAGCTATAGCGAGGAAGCTAAAGAAATAAAAGAAAGTTAGTATTTTCTTTAGGGTCAAATCTTTAAAAATTGTTATATCTTAATTAAGATTAAACTTAGGTAACCAACACAAGGGCGCTAGGTCTTCATATATAGCCAATTTTTAGAAAAATTGTGAACAGTTAAAGAAAGGTAGATTCGATTGCGGGATGTGGTAGATAGTTATAATAATGAGTTCCAACTGTTTAATCTATAAGCGTAAATGGTGGAAATATCAATTATGAATTTATACGATATAAAGACGCTTATTAAATTATTAACTTAGTTATTAAAAACTTGTAATCGTATGGAATATAGAATAAAAGGGTGCACCTTTATCTGTAGCCCAGTATTTACCCACAATGCAATATACAAAGTATAGACGACGGTTCAAAATTTGTATGCTTATTTTTCGGTAAACATAGCTTAAAGTGGATCATTGCAAGACGAATTCATATATGAATTTGCCTTGATTGGATAGTTTTTACTTAATTCTTCCACATTTTCCAAGGTACCATAACTATCGCAGGTCAAAGAAGATAAACTCTATAGAGGAACTAAAAAGAAAAATGCTTGCTTTAAAATTTTAGAAAAAAATCAGTTAGATGAACCTGCCTTATTAGGGTTCAATAATTTTGTACCTCTACCGGCGAACCCATAAACTCAGGCTCATTTAGCAAAGCCATACTAAGTGGTGATTCATTACGTAACTGATTGTTGATATTGGTCAAACTTGTTAACAAATAAACACAAAAGTATAGATACCTTGTATACACATCGAGAGGAGACCTTTGCAAACAGATTGGGAAGCTCGCTAATTGCCAACTTATTAACGCTTTTTATAGAAGGGAAAATCGCGATAAATACAAATGTATTTTTTATATCTAAAATTAGGTCAAAATAAAACTTCAGTTGTATTTAATTGTACAAAATCGGACGTCTACCTAATTGCAGTACATCTAAATAAAAATTATATCAATCTTACCTTTTATCGAACCAAACCGCATCATAATTCCATCGAATGCTTTTCCGTTTTATGCATCACATTCGTTTTAATTAGCACAAATTATTAAAAGGTTAACAATTTCAGTAAACACGACAGTGTACAATATTTCTCACTTCTCACTGGCGTTATTTGCTTTTCCATTTTCAATTGCGCGTTTAAACTTTCTGTTTATGTATAAAAGCCACAAGTACACTGGTTACAAAAATAGTGTCCGTTAATATTTCGAAGGTAACAGTGAAGGATACAAGACGATGCGCAAATTCGTAAGTAAAAAAAATTTACTCGCTTAAATCAAAATTAATAACATTTCTTTTAGATTATATTAGCCAGTTTAGTGGCATGCTGTGTGGCAGCTCCCACACTCCAGCAAACATCAAAAGAACAACAAGATCACAGTGTACTCCTACAGCGTCCCAGTCCCATCAATCCTGATGTACCTAGTGACCCTAAGCCACCTGAGAAAATTATTAAGATCACCGATCCAAAGGAGATTGTGAAACATAAGCGTGAAGCTGAAGATGTTCCATATAATCACATTTCACGGTTTGCGCCAACTGCACATCCCACACGACAGGCGGAGAAGCAACACCCACACGAATCCGAGGAGAAACATCTTGTAGGAGCTGATCCTACTCATCATCGCGAAAAGCGAGAGAAACAACAAATTAAAGATACAAGAAAACCAGAAAAAGCACCAGCTCCGCCAGCACCTGCAAACAAGGCAGCAGTGAAAAAAGATAGTCCGAAGCGTCCACGTGGCCAAAGTGGACCAACCAAATCCATTGTACCAACACCAGAACCAGCACGTGATTTACCAAAGCACCGACTACGCCGTCAAGTGGACCCACATCTACTAGGTGCATCTACAGTTGGAGTGACTCCACTCATTTATCAAGATGATGATAAAAAGTCGGACGAAGCTGAGGCGCAGCATGAAGTTAAATCCTCTGAAGAATCAACAGAATCCACAGCCAAACCTGCTACCCATGAGTCAACTCAAGTTAAACGAGATATACCAGTGCCTTTAGTGCCGAAATACCATCATCCTGAGGAATCGCCAAATAGTAAAAACCAAGAAGATAAAGTAGAAGCAGTGAAAAATAACGAACACCATCCAAATGATGAAGACAGTAAATCGCACGAAAGTGACGAAAGCGATGAAGACTCTAAAGAAAAGAAGCCAGCGCCAGCTATTCAAAATCACCAGCCGATCAATCAGGCAGGGCAACCACTACCTGCCCAGCAGCATCAAATTCAAATACCTGCACAACCCTCGCATCCAGATATTGAAAATAATAAGCCTATTGAAGTGCACAATAATGGTGAACCGTTAGAAGTGCGCCCACACGTTGGACAGCAGCATCAAACTCAAACATCAGCACAGCCCTCGCATGCAGTAGAGCAAAATGATAAACCAGAGCCAGATAATCCCCAACATGCACAACAACATCAGCATACGGAAGATCCGGCAACGGAGCAAAATAAACCTCATGAAGTTCACAATAATGAATCTGTCTTAGAGCAGTTGGCCGGCATTAAAC